AATTCTCAGTCAGTGCCCACCACAGACTGGCTGGCCATCCCTGCTCTGGTGCGGAAGACATGTTAACACTGCTCCTCAATAGCAGTGTTACTCCGTAGCCAGGGGCAGGCACAGGCCTTGCCCACCTACCGGAGCTCCTGCTTAGCTTCATCATCTACCCCAGAAGGAAGGAATGGGCCAGGGCTGCTCTTCAGGGCTGTCTGGCTTTCTCTTGGTGCCATCTAGTGGTGAGTGCAGCGAGGCTCCCAGGAGGTGTGTAGCAGAGGTGCCAGAAATTCAGGCATCGCTGCTTCTGCTGGCTGCCCACCCATGCATCTTCACCTGTGCTTCTAACCCTTATTCATAAAGACCCAAGGACTCCGTCCTTGTACGTGAGGCAGAGGAGCCCCTGAATTCCTGGGATTTTCTTCACCTTCTTCTCTGGCCTTGCACCGACCTCCGCAGGTCTGCACTCTGGGCATCACTAACGATGACTCTTCCGTGCTCTCTCAATGTCAAGGCTGGAGGAAGAGGCTTCCTTCCAGTCTAAGACAGCCCAGGAATACAGAAACTGGTGACAGTCACTCTGCTGCCCCTGGGGCCCATTGTGAGCAATGTGAGCTCTCAGAAGGACTGACTTAGTTTCTCAGCCCCCTACAGAGTAGCAAGGAGGGAGGCTCAGCGTGGCCCAAGGCTGTCAGCATAAGCATTGAGGGAGGGTCAGTGGATAGAACCAGGGAGCTATTTCTGCTTCCAGCTCCAGCACAAATGCCGTGTGAGCCTGGGAAAGCCCCTGTGAGCCTGGGAAGGCCCACCTTCCCCGAGCTTTCACGCTGGACGGGGAGTAGCCTGTGTGAGGAGTAATGACCTCTGTTGCGTCCAGACTGGCTTGTATTAACATGAAGACTCCTGGGTTTCCTACGTCAAGATCTCTGGACTAAAACACTGGAAATGAACCAACACCCATCTTCTCTTCTTGTTACGTTCTGAGACTAGGTCTCTGGTTTCCCAGGCTGGCCTTGAATTTGATGTGTAGCTGAAGATGTCCCTGAACTCCTGATACTTTTGCTTCCACTTCCCAAGCGATGTAACCACGGGCTGGACCACCAGGCTCTGTTATTTGGGAATCTCTATTAGTGTACCCTGTAGTTGGGTCCTGAGCAGCTGTTCCATCCTCAAGGACTAGAAAAAGGGGTCCAAGTACTAGCAAGGAAGGGATGGATATTTCTGGGGTTCTGAAAGGCCGAGGAACCTCCATATTCCAGTACGTTCTTTCGATTTCTTCACCTTATTGTGGACCCCGCTGCAGCTGCAGAAGAAAGCGAAGCGCTAGCCAGGCTGCCCCCAGACACCCCTCAGCCAGGTCCTTTCATTTCAAAGAGGGGCTGGGACAGTCAGGGCTGGGGGTAGGGGCTTGTTGCCCAAGGAGGTATTTTCAGAGTCTCCCGCCCTCTGGAGTTTCCAAGGACAGAACAGAGCCCTGTCTAGTATTTGACCAAATATGGTGGTATCTCTCAAGGAGCTCACGCCCCAGCCAGCTCCTCAGTTATGCTGTGGAAACCTGCCCTGCACAGATTAATCTTGTGACATTCAGGAGCCTCTCACCCCCCTGCCCCTCCCCTCCTCTCACCAGTTCTGGTAAATGGCCAAGACTGGCCCTCAGCAAGACAAGGCAGAGGAGCTTGCCCACTCATTCCTCCTCGGCTGCCCACTCCCCCCCCCCCCGCCCCCCACACCCCCGCGCGCCTCCCAGGGAGCGTATTTGCTGCTTGCTCACATTCAGTTGACTGTTCACTCAAGGTGAGCAGCCTTAGCCACAGAGGATAGTCAGTTTAGCTTTGGGGGCCCCATGGACCTTGGGGGTCACCTGAACTCATGAAGCTGTGGCCTGCTGTAGGAAGGTTACATGCAGTGTCTCAGCCAGCAGGGTTGGTTTGAGGAGTACAAGGGAGAGGTGCAAAGACACATGAGCCCCAATACTAAGACCGCTGTTGTATATAATAAGAAACATAATAACTACAGTTATTACATCATTATTTTTTTAGATTTATTTATTTATTGTGTATACAGAAGAGGGTGCTAGATCTCATTACAGATGGTTGTGAGCCACCATGTGGTTGCTGGGAATTGAACTCAGGACCTCTGGAAGAGCAGTCAGTGCTCTTAACCTCTGAGCCATCTCTCCAGCCCACAGCATCATTTTATAATAAACGGTGTTTATTGAGCACTTACTTTGTGCCAAGCATTATCAGTTATGATATAGCTTATTTTTATTCTTTGTAGCAGCCTCAAGAGATGTGGAAAACAGACTTAGGCATTAAGTAGGAGTCAGCAGGGCCACTATTCCCGGGATGTAATTCTCACTATACACAAAATGGCACTGAGGTTGAGAGAGAAGGAAGGCCGTAAGCAGTCAGTCATACAGGGGACAGGCCCTGAAAGCGGAGCTCTCTCATGGAAGATGGCACATGTTACTCCATGAAGGCTGTAACAGTTGGCCATGAAGCTTCTAGGCATCTGCACCTTGGCCTGGGGTGGAGGACACAGACTCAGAAACATGCTCACAGTGAGCTAGAACTGTGCAGAAAATACCCCAACACAAACAGTGTAGGGTGGTGTGTTGAGTTCTGGATAGGAACCAGGCCCAGATCCCAGCTCTGCCACTGCTGATTTACTGTGGAATGCCAGGCAAATTCCCTTCTTGCTCAGGCCTCAGTTTCCTTGCCTGTGAACTAGAGGGTGAGCAACTGAGCTCACCTGAGGCTGGTTGGAGAAACTGAGGTTGTTTTCCTGGGAGATAGTACTGTCTTGGCTCTGAGCCAACACAGTCTCAGTACATTTTTCTCTTTTGACCAACCAGTGGCCCATCCCCACCCTCCCACCCCTCCACCCCGGCTATCCCCAAAAAGCAAACGAAGCTGATTGTCTTAACTGGCGCTGTGGGTGCTGGCTGGTCAGCCGGCCGCAGGCCACAGGCGGAGGTGCCATCAGCCAGGGCCCCACCAGACACACAGGGCATTGTCCTTTGGTCAACAGCCCTGGGCACCTCAGGACCTGGCTCCTGGCCTACCCCCACACCCCTCACCGCCTGCCACTGTACTAAGGCCCAGCCAGCTGGGAGCCTTGGGCCCCCAGCTGACAGTGAGCCCACCCACCCACACCCCCCAGCAGCCCCCTGTGGAGCTATAATTGCCTCGGTCCACCCTGTTGCTGCTGCCATTCTCACTGAGGCATCTGGGGTTCCTGGCGGGCGGCAGCTGCAGGGCCTGCTGCCTGCCTTGGTGGGATGGACTGGCCACACAGCCTGGTAGGTGGTGTTCCCTTAGCTGTTCTTTCCCATTGATTAATGGCTGCCTGTGTTTGGCTTGGAATCTGCAGGGCCCAGCTCTGTCCTCTCCTTCAGGGCCAGAGAGAAACAGAGCCTGGTCTCAGCCTGCAGTCATGGCCCCAAGGCTTGGGCTCCAGCTCTGGGCACGGCCTGGTCACACTGGAACTCTTTCAGGAAGAAGCGTCTGGGGCAATCGGACAGACGTGGGCACTAGAGTTTTTCCAGCCCTGGCTTCTGGGATCTGGGCAGAGGGCGTGATCTTGGGCAAATCCCTCTGTCTTTGTTTCCCATCTGGAAATTGAGGGAGGGGATGTTGAGTCTGGTTTATGCTTCCCCTGCAAGATGAGTTGAGGAACGCGTGGGAAGCTTGGCGGAGAACGCCTGCAGTGAGGGAAGGATTTCTGCAGCAGAATGTAGGGTCAAAGGGAAGAACTTAGCAGCCTGATTTCATTGCTGCGGCTCTTACGCCAACCAGCGGATCTGCCAAGGGGGGGCTATGCTGGAACTTGTTTCCCGGGGTCAAGGCTTGCTGGGCAGCCTGGATCATAAACCAGGCCCGGTCCCTGTGGGCCAAGAGGTACAGGGAAGCCAGAGAGTCTGGTAAGACTCAGAAAAATAGTGAGAAAAAGTGAGCAAGAACAGGAGTGAGGCAGGCTGTCTGCTGCCGAGGAGGGGGTGGGGTGTGTGTGTGTGTGTGTGTGTGTGTGTGTGTGTGTGTGTGTGTGTGTGTGAGATCTGGAAACGGAGTCTCACAGGAACCACGCGCCAGCTCCGTGCGGTGTTCCTTCTCCTCACCCACTCCGTTTCAGTTCGCTTCCTTTCAGCAAAGTCTATAAGCAGCTCAACCCCCTTCTCAGTCTTCCACGTCCCTGGAAGACTCTAGGCTTCCTCTGCTCACGATTTCTTCTTCTTCTTCTTCCATTGGACGAGTCTCCCGAAAGCCACCTTGCTGACCCAGACCGAGGGAGAGCCCTGCCCTCCTCCGGCCACCCCTGCGCTTGTCACTCCTGTTACCCTCCTACTCCACCCCCCACAGTTAACGGGACTGAGGTTTCGGGGCAGGCACCGTAGTGGATGGAGTCCGCTCAATCTGCATGTGCTCCACAGACTCTGATGCCATGGAGATGCAGACACGAGGGATGTGTGGAAAGGAGCTCTCAGGGAGTCTGTCCCTGGGGGAGCGGCTAAGGGGATATCAAAGAATCACATGCCCAAGTACAACCGCAGATGTGTTAGGGACATGTGGGGTATGCCGACTCCAAGATGTCCAGAAGTATTGCTGAGGCGGTGACCTAGAGTCCACAGCTGGGCAAGGTGTTCAGAAGGTGAAAGAAAAAGGCAGAACTCGGTGGGCAGAGGCCTGGGCAAATCCCTCTGAGCACAAGCTCAGAGCAGGCAAGGGGGCGGGGAGCACAGGATACCCCCAAGGCTTCAGAAAGGGCATCAAGGGAGAAGGTGATATTGTCAGATGCGCTTTTCAACGGCTGCTGTTGTCCTTGATGGGGTGAGTTGATTAGAAGCCAGACAGGCTTGGGAAAGCCAGTTAGGAGGCAGTGGAGCTGTCCTGGGAACCAACTGTGGTCTGCAGATCGATTAACTAGGGTGGGTAGGGGGATTTTCAGGAGATAACTGATTTTAAGGACTTCAAGAGGCAGGGGGCAGGGGGTGGGGCGTCATTAGTGCCTAACACAAAACAAGTGTCCAGATACAAGGTGGCCAATGCAGAGGCCTCTCTCCTCTTTGCCCTAAGCCTAAGCCTTGGCGCAGAGAGACTCAGTTCTGGCCTTTGACCAATAGCCTTCTTTCTCAGCTGCTCCTTCTTGCCCTCTCTATCTTCCTGGGGCCAAGCCAGCCCCGGAACACCAAGGGCAAAAGGAAGGGGCAAGGAAGACCTGGCCCCTTGGCCCCTGGGCCTCACCAGGTGCCACTGGACCTGGTATCGCGAGGAAAGCCCTATGCTCGAATGGAAGAGTATGAGAGGAACCTCGGAGAGATGGTGGCCCAGCTGAGGAACAGCTCTGAGCCAGCCAAGAGGAAATGCGAGGTCAACCTGCAGCTGTGGCTGTCTAACAAGAGAAGCCTGTCTCCTTGGGGATACAGGTAGGTAGGCTGGGCACAGCAGGCCCCCATTTCCCCTGTCCCAGGCACTGTGTTCAAGACCTTGGATTCAGGTGAATTTTAATCCCACTTTCAGGATCTTACCACCTGTGAGGCTGTCAGTCAGTTGAATAGCTTTGCTGAGCCTCAGTTTCCCCAGTTGGAAGTAATGGTGGTGTGTACTTCAGATGGACATACACAGCACCGTCTTTTTATCCTCCAGGTCTCAATTGGAGGGCTTCTAAAGTACTTTGTCCAGCACTGTGGTTCACACTTGATGGCCATGCTCACATCTCTTTCATGCCAAAGAGGCGCCTTTTTTTTTTTTTTTTAAATATGGAACACTACACGAATTTGTGTGTCATCCTTGCGCAGGGGCCATGCTAATCTTCTCTGTATTGTTCCAATTTTAGTATATGTGCTGCCAAAGCGAGCATGAGAGGCGCCTTCTTAAAGTCCGGCTCAGAACTACCTCAGGGTTTCTGTGCTCACCCGGTCAGATTCCCTAGGATTGATGCCTGGATCATGGGTGTTGCACCTGCTTCTCTATACTTAGGGTGTATGGCCCCGCTTTGGCTTGGGGAAATCACTTTGTTGCTCTGGGTTACAGAAGCAATGCCTGTGTATTTAGCTCCACCTCCTAGGTCCGCAGGCAGAAGGGGTCCAAGGTACATGGATCAGATGGAATGAAGAAACGGTTAGCTCACTCAAACTGAGCCCAGAGCTCTACCAGCTATGGTGCTTATATCCCCAAGACTCTAGAATAGCACTGTTGGCCAGGACTTCCTGTGACACAGCCCACTGTGGTAGCCAGGTGACTACTGAACCACTGGGATGAGACTGAAGCACTGGTATAGACGGAGTCCAATGTAGGTTGGCACATGTAGCCAGTGGCTACTGTGTCGAGTGGCATAGACCAAGAATGTGGCAATGGAGTCAGTCAGCATCCTGCAGACCACCGCTCGCTCCTACGTGGTGGTGCCCATGTGTCAGTCAGGGAGATTGTAAAACTGTAGGCTCATTCAAGGGACTTCAAATTTATTTCCAAGGCGCTCCCAAGCAGAGTGAGGTGACTGACAGCGTGTGTTCCCAGGTCTAATTCTCTTACCTCTCATCGTGTTTAACTGAGGAGGAAATTGAGACAGAGAAGAAAGGGCCCAGAGCAGATAGTCTAGGTCTGGGACAACCCCAGAAGGCTCTCACCAATGAGTGTCTAAAGTCTAAGACAGATATGCTTTTAACATAATATGTGTGTAAAAATACAACCCCCAGAATTCACACAGGGGAAGGAGACAACTGACTCCCACAAGTTGATCTCTAGCTCCTTGCAAGGTCTCCTCTGATCTCAAATAAATAAATTAATAAATAGATAGATAATAGAATAAAAAAACACAACACTTGTTGAGCTGAGCATGGTGTAATTCCAGCACTGGGAAGGCTGGGACAAGAGAATCACAGGCAGGAGGTCACCCTGAGCTGCAAAACAAGACCTGGTCTCAAAAATGAAAAACAAAAACCCCCAACCCAAACAAAACAAAAAAGAAAGAAAGGAAGGAAGGAAAGAAGGAAGGAAGGAAAGAAGGAAGAAAAGGAAAGGAAAGGAAAGAAAGAAAGAAAGAAAGAAAGAAAGAAAGAAAGAAAGAAAGAAAGAAAGAAAGAAAGAAAGAAAGAAAGAAAAACTGAATCAGTGCAAATCAAACCACAACACCCCAAAGCTTGTTGAGTCTCCAAGGTTCAGTAAAACAATAGAACACAGGCCAGGTCCTCTTCCAAGGCAGAGTCTACATCCACGTGTGTACATTTTACCCCTGTAGATTAATTCCCCACAGTATAAAAATAAGGTAGAGAAGACAGAGGACTTGGGTTTTTCCATGGTCCCTGTGGTATCTTACTGGGTGAAAAGAGGAAGCTGGTGACATAAAACCTGACCGGCAGTGACTAGCTTCCAGATCTGAGGCTCCTTTTTTGGGAAGGCAGAGTTCATTACAACACACCCTGGCCGCTAGCCCTAACCCTAACTCCGCAGGACCCCCTGGGGATAGCCTGAGCAGCGCCCTTTGTTGCTCACGGTGGCATTCACCCTGCTCTCTCCCGCTCCCCCCGCTCCCCTGCAGCATCAACCACGACCCCAGCCGCATCCCTGCGGACTTGCCCGAAGCGCGGTGCCTATGTCTGGGCTGTGTGAACCCCTTCACCATGCAGGAGGACCGCAGCATGGTGAGCGTGCCAGTGTTTAGCCAGGTGCCAGTGCGTCGCCGCCTCTGTCCGCCAGCTCCGCGCCCCGGTCCCTGTCGCCACCGCGTCGTCATGGAGACCATCGCTGTGGGTTGCACCTGCATCTTCTGAACCATCAACCCAGTGGCCACCGCAACTCCTTCCTCCCTGCGCCCACTGTGCCCCGCCAGGCCGATAAACAGTAAACGCTGTCCTTTATAAAGGAAGGCATCGGGCTTGCTTCTTGTGACTAGGAAACTAAAATTGTGTCGGGGTTGGAGATCCCTGGGACACAAATTCCAGATCAGCCTGAGTATTTCCCAGGACTCGGCTTCCAAAGAGTGAGCCAGGCTGTTAGAAATGCTGGGCTGGGGATGTAGTTCAGTTAAGAGTGTCTGCCCAGCACAAGTGGAACCCCGAGTTCCATCTCCAGCACCACATAAAACCAATGGGTGGTACACATCCGTAATTCCAGTACTCTGGAGGTGGGTAGGTCAGGAAATTGAAGGCCACCCTTGGCTATGAGTATAGCCTCGGATACACGAGACTCTCTCAGGAAACAAATACTGCTTCCACTTCTATCATTTAAGAAGGTGGCAGACTTCCTTTGCGTTCTTCTTTGTAGCAGCTGTGTGACTGGAACATGATTGTCATAAGCCAATTTGCTACCCAACTAACCCAAGTTACTAAGACATACACTCCAAAGAGGCTGGCTCCAGGTTCTGCAGTGCCGAACTCGGGTTTGGTCTCTGCTAGACGCTGTGGAGACGACCCTTGTCACAGATTGGAAGGGTTGCCCTCAGCCCCAAGATCCTTTGCAGAAAAGACCTAACCTCCCCCAAAGGGCCTCTGGTTGCCAGAGAGGCTCCAAAATCTTCACTTTTTCCCCCCTGGAAGAGGAACTCTGGCTTTAAACACTCAAAAGATGCAAGGCAAACTGGATTGGTCATTTTTCATCCAGCCACTTCTCTGCATTGCTGGGGTACCAATATCTGTGATCCTCAAAACGTCAGTCAGTCACCCGGGAAGCTTATTCAGATTTACGGCCTGGTACTCAGAGGTGCTGACTTAGGTGGGGTTTGTTATTTTTTCACTTGAATGGCATGGCTTTTAATTCCTACTATTGTGGGTCCTGATGCTGCCATCTGTGACCACGCTCTGAGAACCACTGGGTCATATGAAAACATTCTACTGACCACCATAGGCAATATGGAGTTATCCTAAAGCCCATACTGAGTTTTGCCCCCTGATGCTAGCTCTTTCCCCTGGTAACTGAATTTTGACCCTCTGGGCCTTCTAATCCCAAGCAAATCCCCAATCAGCTGTCCCGGGCTCTAAAAATACCTTGCCTCCCCCCAGAACAGCTGAGGGGCTTGGGCTATTTTCTGTGGGTGAGATGAGCTAGCACTTCTGAGGTAACATCCTGCAAGGGGTCAACAGCCAGCCCACTGCAGGAACACTTCACTTGGCTGTTTGAGCTCATGTGCCTACAAGAGCGTCAGGGTGGAATGCTTTAATTGTCGAATTCACGAAAAGCCAATGGTTAGGTATGTGCCTGTCTGGGCTGGAAAGTAACTTACCTTTTTTGGTATTGTTGTAGAGTGTATACTGGTTAAAATTACCCTGGGAAGTTTTGGCCTGGTTCCAGACACATGGAAAATAGACTCCACGTGCCAGCTCATGCCGATCCCTTTAGCAGCCACTTCTGCAGGGCTTACTTGTCTCTAAAGCTCCCACAGATGCTCTCTGGGTTTCTGTGCGTGCCCCTAAGTGCAGGGTATTGAACTCAGGCTTTATATACGCTAAGTACGTGCTTTACCACTGAGCCATCTATCCTCAAGCCCTGTGCTCTCTGGGTTCTAGGCCCACGCGATGGGCCCAACAATTTTCAAGGCTTTACTGGAAGTCACTCTGGGAGAAGTTGAGCTGCAGGAGCCCTGGGAGAGCACAGGTAGTATGGGTAGGAAGGAAATCCTCTTCTGGGCGAGAAGGGGCTAGCCTTATAGAGGGAGCATTAGAATCTTAGAATGCTTAGTATATGGTTGTTATACAAGGGTGATGGTTTCCCCTATTTCTGGGTCCTCATCTGTGAAATGAGCAGATGAGATTTCATTATCTTCAGCCTCTTGTCCAGTCTCTACAATCCTGGGACTTAAAGGTATGGCCTCTTCTTAAAAACAGTGTATTATTATTATTATTATTATTATTATTATTAACATTTCGGTAGAGAGGGAGAGAGAATGTGTGCATGGATGCATACCACATGTGCATGTGAAACACACAGGTCAATTCTGGGAGTCCGTTCTTTCCTTCACTCCGTGGGTCCTGGGGTAGAACTAAGTCTTCAGGCCTGCCAGCACCTGTCTCAGCCCACTGAGCCCTCTTACTGGCCTGAAACTTGGTCTCTTGGGCCTGAGCAGGGGAGCTCAAGCCTTGGGAAAAATAAGTCCACAGTGGATCCAGAAACTTACTTAGGTCTAAAGCTAAACACACACTTCCTATGACACGATACATATAAATAAATGCAGAGGCTTCCAGGGCACCTACTCCTGCCCCCTTCAGTGCTGTTTCATGAGTGGGTGGAATAAGGCATTCCTTAACACCTTACTACCAAAGATTCGGCTTGGGTCATCTGCTCTAGAAAGCAGAATATCTGTGCAGTTTTGTGGATTCCTTTTTTTTCTTTCTTTTCTGAGACAGAATCTCACGTACCCCAGGTTGGCCTCAAACTTACTATGTAGCCAAGGATGGCCTTGAACTTCTGATCCTCCTGCCTTACCCACTGAATGCTGGGATTACTGGCAGTGATGACCATGATTCAGGGCTTTGTATATGCTAGGCAAGGACTCTATTGACTGAGCCATGCTCTGAGTCCTGTGTGCAGGGTTTTAAATACTCATTCTACTGAGGACAACAGACGGTAAGGGTGGTGCCTCTTCCGTTTTGCTGCTCAGACTCACAGGCCTCTCTAGGGAATTCTGGGGAGGGAATGTCTGTTCTGGCCCAAGACGGCCAAGGTGAGCCCTGGGACAAAGCTTTCGGTTGGCCTGTCTTCCCCTTTCTGGGATCTGTCCTGCAAAGGATGAGACCAGAAGACTTGAAGGCTTGGGCAAGTGGGCCTCAAGCCACTTGGGAGTGGCTTTGGATTGGAGCTGTTTAGGCCTGCCTACTCAGGCAAAGGATGGCTCGGTAGTACAGCCAGCTCAGCCTTAACATGAAGCCCCAGCCCAGCAGAGGACCTGCCCTGTCTACGCCACATCCTCCTTAGGGACCCAAGAGAGTGGAGTTAGCAGAGTATGTTTTGCATTGTTTTTGGTCCTCGGGCCCAATACCGAGCATACAAAGACAGCCTGTACCATCTGTATTTCAGAGTCCGTTGAGTACCATCACGTTTTGACGTCACTGAACTTGGGGGTTGGGGGAGGCATAGGTCCCTCCACAGTCGTGACATTTGGATAAGACCATTATCAGAGCCTGTTATTCTACGAAAATCAGTTTACTCTATGATCCCATTACTGGTCCGGTGTCTGAAGCCCAACCAATCAGCACTTGGCCCTTCTCTGGCCACAAGTATCAGTGCAGGGCTGGTCCCCATGGCCTACATTAGAAATTCAGCTCAGTGGCTGTGGGAGACCCTCCCACTGGGGGACCTGTCGACACTGCAGTCTTTGGCTGTAAGAAGGACCGGGGGATTGCCTTGTGCTCAGCACATGGCCTCGAATCATTTTACCCAGTAATGTTTTCATTGTTTAGAGTTTTCATTTGTGGTTTTTCTACTTCAACCAAGACTTGTTTTACTGATGTGCCAGTCTTATGGCTCCTGTAATATCCACCACACACAGATCACTTGTACCCTAAAGACCATCTCTTCACTGCCATCACCATCACCTGGTAAACACGAACCTTCATTCCAGTGTGAGCCTAACTGCATGGGAGGGGTTTTTCTGCTCTATGCTGAACTCAATTTAGGCGAAGCTCCACATCTGGGTTGTTCTATAAAACTTAGCAGAGACCTCAGACAAGTTACGTTCTCACTGTGAGCTCTTGTCTTCCTGGCAGGAAACAGCCAGATGAATCTCAGGACTGTCTGTTGGGCAAGTTTCTGGGCTAGGATCCTCTGGTGGCCATGTTTTCTCTGTGTACCCAAGCCTCTCCCCTAAAGCGCAGCTTAACAAGTCTGAGTGGTTTGTGTGTGTGTGTGTGTGTGTGTGTGTGTGTGTGTGTGTGTGTGTGCGTGTGTGTGAGTGCGGATGGGTGGCCCACACTGGCTCCACTCCTCTGTGTGTTCCCTCCGCAGAAACGCACAGGTCCAAAGGAATGAAGACAAGTTCCACTCCAAAAACTGATTTGGGGGTGTGGTGGTGCTGAGACTTGAGCCGGGGGCTTCATGCATTCCAAATCCATGCCCTCCACTGAGCTACGCCTGTGATCCTCAATATTTATCTTGTCTAATTATGTAATGGTTTGGCGGTGCCAAAACCAAGGCCCCACAGATGCCAAGCAAGCGCTCTACTACTGAACTGCATCTCCAGCTCCAATCTACTGATCTTTCCAGGTCACAGGGAAAACCAAGTACAATTCTGTCTACGAAGCTAGTGCCAGAGAAAGCGCCAGATTAACCCCCGAAGAACTCCATCCCACACCTTCCTTTCCCCTGCCGGGGGAAAGTTTGGAGGTGAGGTAGGAACACTCTCTACCACCCAAGGACTTGCCTCCTTTGCAAGATAGATCCATCACACGACTCCTGTACCCTTACATAAAGAGAGCGGCCAATCCCTCCAGGGGCTGTCAAAAGCTTCCTTTCTTCCTATAGTTCAGCTTACTTCCATTTTTTTTTTTTGCCTGCCCGATTGACAGGTAGCCCAGAGCTCTACTGACAGCAGTGTTCAGGTAAATGTCGTAACAGTCATACGCATTGCTGCTAGGAGGTGTGGAGATGGTCTCGAAAGAAGTTCTGAACTAGGACCCACACCAAATGGCCCGTCCAAATGCTTACATTTTCTGATCTTGCTTTCTCTTTTAAATAGCTGGTTGTAAATGTTTTCCTGTAGGCTGTGCATTTGGGGAGGTGGTAATGGAAGACAGAAACGAAAGAAAATTGAGTTCTCTGCTTTATATTCCTTCTCACAGTCATCTGGGCTTCTAGTGAGAAAATGAAGTCGGAAGTAGCTTGGAGGATGAATTTTTATTTCTTCTTGAAAAATTATAACAAAAAACAAAAGCAAACAAAAAAAAAAACGAAAAACAAAAACAAAACAAAAAAATACCCCCAAACACTGACTTGAATTTCCTTCCCTTTTCTTAATCTCTCCCTTAAAAAACAAAAAAGGCTGCCGGGTGGTGGTGGTGGTGGTGGCGGCGGCGGCGGCGGCGGCGGCGGCGGCGGCGGCGGCGGCGCACGCCTTTAATCCCAGCACTCAGGAGGCAGAGCCAGGCGAATCTCTGTGAGTTCGAGGCCAGCCTGGTCTACAGAGAGAGTTCCAGGACAGCCAAGGCCAAACAGAGAAATCCTGTCTCCAAAAACAAAAAAACAAAAACAAAAAAACACCAAAAAAAAAAAAACCCCAAGAAAACAAAAAAGGCAGCTTCTAAGGATCCTTAGGCAGATAGTGAATCACCCGGACCCACAGCGGGGAACATCTGCTCCATACACAGGGCAGAGAGAGCAGAGCAGCCCACGAATGTGGCTTAGGCGGTCCTTTGCTGCTGGGGTGGGCTCCATCTTCAGTGTGGGACAGAGTTCCTGGAGTCTCTCTGGACACCCTCACAGTTCAGTCTTGACCTTATGGATCAAGTCCTTTTGGTCAATCTTGTCCAGGTCCTGGTACCAGCGGTTATAAGCCAATAAGGCCACGTTCTTAGCAGCTACAGCCATCATCTCCACGGAGCTAGCTGCCCACTCCAAGGCGTTGAGGTAGAAGAGCTGGTCATGGAGCGCGAACTTGGGGAGGCTGCGGCGGGAGCCATAGAGGGGGTGGGCCTGCCACTCGGCTGTCTGGACTGAGTAATAGGAACGGAAGAGGGTCTTCAGCTCAGTCCGGAAGAGGGGCTTCGGGGACTGCACTCGCCACACTGCCGCTTCCTGGGGCTGCTTCCGCCGGAAGCTGGCTGAGATGTTGACAGGACAGATGTTGTCCAGAGTGCAGAAGAAGCTGGGGAAATCTGTGGTGAGTATGTTGGCGAAGGGGAAAAGCTTAGGGTCGGGGAAACCGAAGTAGGAAGAGTTGAGGTAGCCATGGACCAGGGAGACCACGGTGGGCTGGAAAGAGCCCTGAATGTCATCAATGGGCGGAGTGAAGCCTTCGAAGGTGAGGTTGTGGCTGCTGTTGTCCAGGTGCAGGGGCGTGGCAACGACCACGATGTCGTAGAAGTCAGAGCTGTTACCCTTGTCACTTTCATACCCCACTTGGTACAGGGCTTTCCCTTCTAGCAGGAGAGAGAACACAAACATCCATTTATTCCTTGGCTTCTACCCACTGATCTCCCTTCCATTTGGGACCCAGCCCCGGGGGTGTAGTGAGAGTCTGGTGTCAGGGGCAGCTCGGCTGTCCCTTCTTTCCATATTGCTGCTGCTGCTGCTGCTGCTGCTGCTGCTGGGTGAGCACTGGTCTGGACGTTAGAAGGCCTAAGTCCTTCTTCTGGTTCTGCTGCTGACTGGCAGAGGCAAGGATGCCACTCAAATTCTCAGTGGTCAAAGGAATAGCAGATAACATTGAAGGAAGCTTCCTAGCTTCTACACGAACCACGACAGTGCCCTCTAGTGTTGCTGGGCCTTCCACTGATTTTTCTGAGAAATACTTCTCAGCAGGAACCACCAGGGTTGAGGTACAGAAGAGGAAGGAGGAGGGCTGGCTAGGAACAGGATGGGCCTAACTCCTGTTCCGTTCACTCACCTGTAGTGTGCAGGGTCACAGAGGTCACTGTGGCATGGATCACGTTGGCCTTGGCAAGCTTCAGCAAACCTGAACAAACTAGCTTGTTGCCCCCTTCCACGGACCACAGGTTGCCCTGAGCCCCAGCTAGTGACATGGCTCCTGGGGAAGGTAGGAAAGATCTTGGGCCTTCCTGCCAAGACAAGACTCCTCCCAACCATGAGCACAGGCAACACACATAAAATACAATGTGATTTTAAAAAAAAAGAGAGAAAAGAAAGAACGGGGTGGGGGTAATAAGCCAGAACAAGGTTTTCATAGGGCCCGGCTTGTTCTGAGTATGTGGGCAGGGTGGACGGGCAGGCTGAGGGCTGTACACTCACCGGCAAAGGCTGGCATGGATGCTGACTGGCCGTAGTTGGCCCGTAGGACAGCGGAGACAACATCATCAATAAAGCGCTGTGTGACCCCCACCTGGAGCAGGGACTCGGCCACCGAACGCTGGGTCATGTTGACAAAGGTGGTCTCCCCCAGTGAGTTGAGCAGTTCTTCTACGCCCGAGAAGGCATAGCCATGAGCCTGGTACTTGTAGATCCTAGGAGACACGTGGGACTGGAGTCTCGTGCAAGAGGGCTTTGGGGCTGACCACCCAGCATGAGGTCCTCTAGGCCTGCCACTTTACCCCTTTGGCCTGTTCTGTGGCGACAGTGGGCTTGTCTGTACCTCCTCACTGGTGGCCAGGGACAGTGCAGAGATAAAGAAAAATAGGATCCCAAAGAACCTTGCTTCCTAGTGTGGCTAGATGCCAATTACATCACACTTCCCCCACACGGCGCTGATATGTCTCTGAACATGAGCGGCTTTTTTTTTTTTTTTTTTTTTTTTTAAACTAGCTTCTAGTTTGTCCTGGCTTCAAAGACCAAGCTGGGCCTGATGGTAATAGCCTCATACCACACCACTGTCCTCCCCTCTGGCTTGATCTGGCAGACTCGCACTTGCTCAGAGCTCCTGTCTGGTCTCTCTATCATTCATGCCGGCCCCAGAACTAGCACAGATGGGAACTACCTGCGGATATATTCTGGACTAGCTTGTCTTTGAACTGCTGTCTTTTCTGGGCTGGTTTTCAACTGGGCCACTAGACAGAAGTGTCCAGAGGGTGGACAGGGATGTGGACTGGAAGAAGACAGGGATGTGGACTGGAAGAAGACATGGATGCAGGACTGGAAGAAGACAGGGATGCAGGACTGGAAGAAGACAGGGATGCAGGACTGGAAGAAGACAGGGATGTGGACTGGAAGAAGACAGGGATGTGGACTGGAAGAAGACAGGGATGTGGACTGGAAGAAGACAGGGATGTGGACTGGAAGAAGACAGGGATGTGGACTGGAAGAAGACAGGGATGTGGACTGGAAGAAGACAGGGATGTGTACTGGAAGAAGACAGGGATGTGGACTGGAAGAAGACAGGGATGTGGACTGGAAGAAGACAGGGATGTGGACTGGAAGAAGACAGGGATGCAGGACTGGAAGAAGACTGGTAGAACTTACTTCTACAACAGGAGATGGTCAGCATGGCAGAGCCACTTAAAACCGACAAGAGAGAAAAGCAGAGAGAAGAAGGGACCGAGTATGACTGAGTATATAACGGAAGTAGTGCAAGCCCAGGAATTTGGATGGTGTCACAGAGGTATTGTGAGTTTGAGGCCAGTCGGGACTACACAGTGAGACTCTGTGTTAAACAAAGGCAGAAAGGGGGGGGGGAGCTGGGTGGTGGGGAGAAGGGCTGTGCAACAGTGTTATGGGCATGGCACGGCTGTGGCACTCCCAAACTCACAGCAACTGTAGTTGCCTGCATAGGGCCTGCACAAGATGGAGCCCTATGAACATTCAGTCATAGGTGGTGAGGGGCTCAAGGGGCCCCGGCTCACCCAAGGAAGCTAAGACAGGCAAGGGCTGCTGGAGAAGAGGAAGTCATCGTCTTCGACGGCGAGGTTCCCACGCTCCAGAGGAGCAGCCATGGTTAAACCCAGTGGATGGCAAAGCCAACCAAAATCAAAACAGAAGACCTAGCCGGGCGGCGGTGGCGCACGCCTTTAATCCCAGCATTCGGGAGGCAGAGGCAGGCAGATCTCTGTGAGTTCGAGGCCAGCCTGGTCTCCAAAGCGAGTTCCAGAAAAGGCGCAAAGCTACACAGAGAAACCCTGTCTTGAAAAACCAAAAACAAACAAACAAACAAACAAAACAAACAAACAAAAAAAAAACAGAAGACCTGATGGTGGGAAGGGGCCTCGTTGGGAGTGGAAGGAGCGTAAGAGAGGGAGGAGGGATGACTGTGACCAGAACGCATTCCATACATGTGTAAAGCTATCAAGGAATAAGTTTAAAAGGAAAGAGTACAGAAACTTTGAGGGACATCTGGAGAACGTAACGAAGACGTGTCACCTCGTATGGGCTAATCACAGAGCGGGGAGGGAGTAGAGAATGGGAGAAAGCAGAGAAGCATGCCATGGGACCACACCTGGGCATCTGACACTGAGGAGAGTCCGTGATGGGGGCAGAGGGACAGCCTCTGCTCAGGGCTCCAGGAAGCAGGGGGCCTACGGAAGAGGAGTGGCTGGCTGCTTGGCATGTGAGGACAGAGCAGGTGCAGACCACGTGTCCTCTGTATCTGGAGGTGATAGGGAGTGCCAGGTGATAGGCCTGGCACTCAAGAGAAAAGAAGAGCTAAGAGAATTGTTCTAGAGCAGGGGTTCTCAAACTGTGGGCCTTGACCCCTTGGACCCCTTATCAGCTATCCTGCATATTGGATATTTACATTACGATTCACAACAGTAACAAAATTACAGTTATGAAGTAACAACAAAATAACTTTACGGCTGGGGGTCACCACAACATGAGGAACTGCATTAAAGGGTCACGACACTAGGAAAGTTGAGAACCACTGTCCTAGAGAGACAAGGTGGGGACAGAAAGCTTGCAAATGGGTGACCCCCAGATCTACATGAATGTTTTACTTGGTTGGGTCACAAAATCAATTGGTGATAAACACCGAAAAGCTGGAATATTTCATGACACGATCCCTGGTGGCTGGCCACAGTGTGCTGC